TAAATCATCTTTGAGAGCAAGGGGGCCCCCTGGTGTTTCGGGGGCCCTACGCAGCTTGCGTATTTTGCGTATAGGGAGGATCGGCTCTGTGCGGACCATCCGCATGGACACAAAAATTCGGCTACACGTGGACAGCATGCGTGGACGTCCATGGACACTTCTGATGTCGAAAATTCGTCACTCGTACTGTCACGGAACGTGGATGCCGAAGTACACTTTGGATTGAGTTTTGATTGATTTTTAGCATGTTGCTATGCGGTTGCTAAGGTATTTTGATTGATTTTTAGCACATTTCTTTGCGGTTGCGAAAGCTGCTCTTTTGGCTGGACCATGCATCACAAACAAGCTCAGTTGCCCAGTTCTCGAAAACAGAAAATGAATCATAACACATTTTTTTAAAAGAACTCATGTGCATGTCACTTTTACCACACACACCCAACAACAGCGTCCAAACGCACACCCCAGTAAACGCTCAAGGTCTGAGCAGGGCGTGTCCGTGAACTTACAGACCACTGTGGACTTTAATGGAGCCGGTGTTCTGAGGATGGCTGAAACTGCCCACTTCTTCTGTGTAATCCACATACTCAGAGCTTCTGCCCCTGCCAGCGGGCTCGGTGAACAGCTCTATCCGGGGAGGAGTGTAGTCCTGCAAACGCATATAGGAAAACACAGCGGTCACTCCCGTCACTTTTGACCTTCAGAAAGCGGTTACTGTGTTCAAAACACTTACTCTGATAGCCAGTCGAATTGAGCCAATGACCACAGATGTCTCTTCACCCTCTTCTGCCCATTGATTGGGCAGTTCTATAACTCCTTCCTCTTCCAGAGCGATGCATCGTCCCTCAAATCCTGGTTTCTCATAAAGTATCCAGCTACGACAAGCCAAAATGCAGTTAAAGCTAATCTATTGAAAGGCTCATCATCATGCATGTAGTATTTGTTCTCCAGAGATGCCACTTACCATCCTCTGACCACTTTAATAGATATGACACTGGACAGTTGCATGTGAGTGACATCAGGTTGATCCCTGAAGAACTCAAAGGACTGACCGCTGAACTGATGGTGCTCAAATATCACAATCTGACAGGCACAAAACTTCAAATTAGGGCCCAAGTGCACTTTGCTCACATATTGAAAGCATAAATAAAATTTAAAAAACTTTGCTCATGCTATGCAAGCAGAGCAGGTTTTAATATCTGAAATTCTCTGTTAGGTCACGAGTTTGAAATGCTGGCAAACCTTTCCAGGTCGCCGGTGGATTCCGCGAGCAGCTGGAATCTGGAAGACAAAACGCCATGGCTTGTTGTGGTTAAGAGAGTAATGCGGGTAATTGGTTTGCAAATGTTTCATAATATTTAACCAAGCAGACAAAAACATGATCCAATGATAACCCAAAGATTTTGCCCTTTGTACGTTAAAACTTCAAATCTCTCATATTGTCATGTACAAATATGGACATGCATGAAGAACAAGCAGGCATGCAGAGCGATTGCAGCTATGAACAAATACACTTTTGGCATTTACAAAGAAAATCCACATTGGTGATTGACTCATACATTTGGTAGTTCTTTCTGAGGTTTAGCTTGAGGGATTTGAGCCGCTGGAACTACAGGTGCCGGTGGAATCGTATCTTCTGGGATCTTCCCGTCAGCTACGTCAACAGCCTTATTCAGATCCACTAGGCCAGGTATGGAAGCACTTTCTCTAGCCACCTAACCAGCAAATACACACACAAATAGATACACACATGATTTAGACACTTGTTCACTCTTATGTGCAACGGAGTTCAAATATGTGACATATTTTGGTTGTGAACAACACTATTGTGAATATCTTAGCACTATGGTATATGAATGTATGCAAGTATGTGTTGTTGCTGTGATGAATGAGGGATGGCTGACCAGTGGGTCGATCTTATTTGATGGTTGAGCATTTTCAGGTTCCTTTGGAAGAAATTCCTCCAGGAAACTAGGCAACTTGATGCCATCAAAGGAAGGAAGTGGCGGAGGAGCATTAGCATCTGTTACTTTAGTGACAGTGGGATCTACTGGAGTTGTTTTCAGGGTCGGTCCATCAGGTTGCAGAACAACATCAGAACCAGTCTGGGTACTGATGAAAAGTGGTGGGGCATTAGAGTCTGTAAACATAGTGACTGTGGGGTCTCTTGAAGTTGTTCTGAGATCAGGTGTCATGGCAGGTTCATCATCCTTGATGGGTTTTAGAACATATTGTGAACCAGACTGTGTATAACTAGATGTTGGAGGAGCTTTAATGTCTGTCAACATGGTGACTGGAGGGTCTAATGAAGTCGTTTTCAAGTCAGGTGTCAGTGTAGGTCCATCATCTTTCATAGGTTTTGGTACAAACTGGGAACTAGTCTGGGTACCATTGGGAGGAGAAGGAGCTTTAGTGTCTGTTAACATAGTGTCTGTGGTGTCTCCTGAAGTTGTTTTGAGGTCAGGTGTCATGGCAAGTCCATCATCCTTGGTAGGTTTTAGAACAACCTGGAAACCAGACTCGGTACAACTAGGTGGAGGAGCATTAGTGTCTGTTAACATGGTGACTGGAGGGTCTGCTGAATTTGTTTTCAAGTCACGCGCCAGGGTAGGTCCATCATCTTTCGTAGATTTTGGTACAACCTGGGAACTAGTCTGGGTACCACTGGGAGGAGAAGGAGCGTTAGTGTCTGTTGAAAGAGTGACCGTGGGGTCTCTTGAAGTTGTTTTGAGGTCAGGTATCACGGCAGGCCCAATGTCCTTGCTAGGTTTTAGAATAAGCTGAGAACCAGACTGGGTACCACGGCTGTCATTCTTAGCTAGGGTTTCCTCTACTGGGACCAGTTTAGGTGGTTCTGTAGTTGGTGCTAGTTGTGATTGTGGAGGTGCTGTAGACCCAGAACCATCGCTTGGTGATAACAGCCCATCTGAAGGACACTCAGTGGGGCTTAAAAACTCCATTCGTCTCCCTTTGCTGGGACTGCGTAGAATGCTGACAATTGAGCACCTCTCCAAACGAGACTTTGCCTTCAGTGGTTCTGTTGTATTCTCATCTGATCCCTCCTCTTTTTCTCCCTCTTCTTTTTCAGACTCCTTCCTTGCTCTCTGGAAGATCAGGGACCTTGTGAGGATGCTCTCTCTCTTAGGTTTGGTGTCCGCCTCCTTGACTATTGTGGCTTGACTCTTGGATATCGAACTGGGTGCCAGATCCAAAATGAATTCCCTCCTTCGCCTCAAGCCATGCTGGAACTCCTCCAGATCAAAAGGCTTCTCAAAGCGGTCTTCTTTGATGGCAGGCATGGCAAACGGAGGTGTTTGCAGGCGATGTTTGTTGTGTTTGCGTTGAGGAAGATTGAACGGCATTGCTAGCCGTTTCACATTTGTAATGAAGTCATCTGGGTCAAACTCTCCCGATGTGTTCAGGAGGTTGGTCTCACTCACAGAGGAGCTGAGCTTAGGTTCTGAAATCAACAGCTTCTTTCTTATAGGACGTTGGTGATCCACATCAAGCCAGCTAGATGGAGAGTCCCTGCTCTGGGAGGAGCTGCCGGGTGCAGTGGGGATTTGTGGAAGGAGAAAGGGTTTGAGGACGAATTCCTTTTTTCTTGTGGATGGATCCTTAGATTTACTGGAGGAGATCTTCTGTTTAGCTGAGACTTCAAAAGCTGAGGGCTTTTCATTAACTGATTCTGGTGAAGGTGTGGTCTTTCCACTGTCATAGTCTGGTGGTGATATGGTCTTTTCTTTGGATGAAGGAAGTGGAGTTATATTCTCTCCATTGATAGAGGTTATTGGGAAGGAGGATGACGCTGTTAGTGGCGTGGTCCTCTCATTTTTAGTAGTGATATCAATGGAGACTGGTGGAGGTTTGTTCTTCTCATCACTGGAGCCTAATGAAGCAGAGATTGTCTCAGTGGTTGAAACTGGTAGAGGTGCAGCATTTTCTTTAGTTAGGGATTTTGCAGGTGTGGTCTTGTCATTAGTTGAAGCTGGTAAAGGTTTGGTCTTTTCATTAGTTGTCTCATTGGTTGAGGCTGGTGGAGGCATAGTCTCTTCATTATTTGTCTTTCTACTAGCTGAGTCTAATGAAGACGTAGTATTTTCATTAGTTGAAGCTGGTGGAGTTGTAGTCATTTCATTAGTTAAGTCTGATGGAGGTGTGGTCTTGTCATCACCTGAGCCTAATGTAGTGGAGGTAGACTCAACGGTTGATGATGCAGAATGTGTGGTCTTTTCATTACCTAAGCCAGGCAAAGCAGAGATTGTCTCGTTAGTTAAGGCTGGTGGAGGCTTCTTCTTTTTATTAGATGAGGCTGGTGATTGTGCGATCTTTTCATCAGTTGATGCTAGTAGATACATATCTTTTTCATCAGTTGTCTTTCTATCAGCTGAGTCTGAAGGAGGTGTTGTCTTTGCATTAGTTGAGGCTGGTAAACTGGAGATGACCTCATTAGTTGAGGCAGGCAGAGGTTTGTTCTCGTCATCACTGGAGCCTAATGAAGCAGAGATTGTCTCAGTTGTTGTTGCTGGTGGAGGTGTAGTCTTTCCTTTAGTTGAGGCAGGTAAAGTGGAGGTTTTCTCATTGGTTGAGGCTTGTGGAGAGGTGGTCTTTTCGATAGTCATCCTTTTGTTAGCTGACTCTGATGGAGTTTTGTTCTTTTCATTAGTTAAGGCTGGTGGAGGCTTCTTCTTTTTATTAGATGAGGCTGGTGATTGTGCGATCTTTTCATCGGTTGATGCTAGTAGATACATATCTTTTTCATCAGTTGTCTTTCTATCAGCTGAGTCTGAAGGAGGTGTTGTCTTTGCATTAGTTGAGGCTGGTAAACTGGAGATGACCTCATTAGTTGAGGCAGGCAGAGTTTTGTTCTTGTCATCACTGGAGCCTAATGAAGCAGAGATTGTCTCAGTTGTTGTTGCTGGTGGCGGTGTCGTCTTTCCTTTAGTTGAGGCAGGTAAAGTAGAGGTTTTCTCATTGGTTGAGGCTTGTGGGGTCTTTTCGATAGTTGTTGGTTTTTCAGGTGTGGTTGTTGCATTGGGTGAGGCTGCTGGGGGAGTGGTCTTTTCATTAGTTATTTTATTAGCTGAGTTTGATAGAGTTGTGTTGTTGTTGTTATCACTTGAGGCTGGTAAACTGAAGGCCGTATCATCTGTTGAGGCTGGTTTAGCGGTAAACTTTTTACTGACCTGGCCAGACTGCTCGGTGGACACTTCAGTGGCTTCGGATGAAAATGAGCTCAGAGATAGACTTTCATTATTGGATGGTATTTCAGGTAAGGTATTTCCAAGTATTTCTTCTCCAGACTGCTTAAGACTGTCAGAAAACTGATCTCCTGTCGCTACAGAGTATATATCGCCATTCACTATGGATGTCGTTTCTGTGCTGGTGATTTTACTCTTGGTTTCTTTGGTGCCTCCCTTTTTAGTTTCAGTGCCAGGCTTTTGTTGTTGCAAATCCCTTTTACTAGATACCGTCTGTGTCTTCTGTTCTTCTCCGCTCTCTGATTGGCTCCGTGGGGGTGGCCCATCTCTTTTGGGACCGCCTCCCTCTGTAGGTGCAATTTGAGGTGAAATTATGCTGTCCATTTGGTCATTTTGGTCCAGTGCAGGGTTTGGTGTTGCCGGTGTCTTGCTTGTAGAAGTGGTGTTTTCTTTAGTCTGATCGGACAATTCAGCACAAGAGTTTTTCTCAGTAGTCTGAGTTTCTTTACCTTGACTGGTTGCCATAATTGTTGTGTCTTCCTGTCTCACAGCAGAGGTGTCCTTTGATGTACCTTGTTTTGATTTACCTTCTACTTTCTGCTCGGTTGGCTTTGATGTATTGACTTCATTATGTTTGTGTGTCTCAGTTGTTTCTGTAACAAGGTCGTTTTTCTGGTTCTGACTGGTAATCTCAGTCAAACAGTCTTTTTCTTGACTCTTTTGGTTCATCTTTGACAGTCTTTGTGCCGATTTTGGGTTATTTTCAGGGGTGTTTTCCACTTTAGACATAAACGCAGTGGTGTCTTTCTCAGGTAAGACCAGCGTATCCGTCTCACTCCCTCTGTTTCGCATGGCATCGTTCCTAAAGGGTGCAGCGCTGCTATTGGCTGGCTCAGAGGAGTCTTTAGATCTGGCCTCTTTCAGGTCCTCTGGGGACGGTGTTTTTTCATCTTTTGTCACAGATGGATCTGGTTTCCCTGACTCTCCAAACAATGAGTTTACAATCAAGTCTCTGTTCCTCTGCTCGTCTCCCTGCTCTCCTTCTGAGCGCTGCTTTTTGTTGCAGTTTTTTCGTTTCTCTTCCATTTTTGAGTCGATGTCAGTCCATATCTTCTCTTTATTTGAGCTGTTCTTTCTGGATGTAGAAGGATGTGTATCAGAAGCCACTATCTGTGCTTCAAAGTCACCGCTATTCTCTCTCTCCTTCTCATCCTTGCTTTTCACTTCTGTAGGAACTTTTGTGTCAGCATGTGAAGTCTTCTTTGAGTCAGATGTTTTCTTTGTGCTTTGCATAATTTCTGCTGCTTTCTCCAACTTCGGAGGAACTGTAGGTTTTTTGCTTGCGACCTCCCCAGCAGAGTTGGGTCTTTCTTTATTAGAAGTGCTCGGCTCTGTGGTCTTTACCACGTCTCTTGCATCTACAAGAGGTTTGTCCTTGTTGTCCTTGACCTCCTGTTTACCTTGACCCATTTCTTGTTTGGTGGGGCTCAGCGGATCTTTGCCTCGACGTTTTTTAGATCGCGTGCCTGTCCAGTTTGGTGATTTCACCTGCGGTGTCTCATCAGTAGGTGATGAAACCATCGGGAGAGAATCCGCCTCTTTATTCCCAACGTTTGAGTCACTTGTGCTCTCTAACAATGCAGGTGTTGCATTGTAGGATTTAGAGTCTGTTTGATCTATAGTTAAATGAGGTTTGGATTTAACCTTTGGCTCTCCGCTGGTATCCGTCTTTGCTGTAGATTTTTCAAAACGTCCAGAACAAGATATTTCAGCCGTTTTTGAATGTCCTTCGTTCAACGTACGACCAGAAGGCAACGTCAGCTTCTCTTCCCCCCTCCGCCCCGCGCTGAAATTCTTCGCCCTCTCTTTAACCGTTTGGTTTGGAGGTGCAGAACTGGACCGCGTTCCGGCATGTTCTGTGAAATCTCTGAGACGACTGGCCACATTTCGAGCTGGAGAAATATCCAGGCGAAGCAGGTTTGTGGAGCTACTAACTGCACTGGTGGCTCCTCTCTCGAACAGACTGATTTTGTCTGCGATTCGGGCCTTGTGATGACTGGACTTTACATTGGTGCCGTCTACTCTGTCCTCTGGAAATCTGTAAAATATCAAAGAATAAAGGTCAAAACTGGTTCAAATATCAAGTTCACAAGTCCCCAGGAGTTAATGAAGAAATTGATTTTTTACCATTTTTGTAATTTGCACTATTGATGACGTACAATTTTATATCTACACTGTTATATGTATAAATTTTTTTTTCCCCCAATTTTTTTCAATTGTTTTTTTAATTTACTTATACCCACATATTAACCAGCTGTCTTTGATGAATCATTAATTAACACTAGTTTAAGAATACCTGTTTGAGCAAATGATGTGTGTCCTGAAGAAGGCTGTTTTGCCGAAACGCATAGATCTACTTTTAACTAGTTGTAATGATTTAAGCCCAGTTCATTTTTCATTTCATTTTTATTTCACCACGTGAGTGCCTTGGAAGTATTTCGTCTACATAATCAAGTTCAGATTATTCATATTAGCATCCACTCCCTTCGTTAGCTGTTGACTCATTGTCTTGCTTTCCACTTTCTCTCGCTTTGTCTACTCTTCAGTTCTTTCTCTGCTTGAAGCAAGCCACAAATCCATTAAGAAACTGAATTCCCCTTCTTCCTTTGCAGGGTTTCTGCAAGATTTATGAAGGCAAATTTAAGACTTCTTAAAGAAAGTTAAGGAATAAGTTAAAGGGAACACAATTCTAAAAATGTAAATGTCTGAGAACAAAATGAGTTGAATTAGCAACACTTCAAAGTCTGAAAATACAACTTCCAGCAGGTCTCCATTGCTTTTTAATTCCTTTTACACACAAAAAATAGCTCAACTATGGAAATCACTCTTAATGTATAATGTTCTTTTTGTATTTTTGTCATTTTCCAGCGCAAATGTCTAAAAAAATCAAATCAAGTTAAATGCCAAAAAGACATATGAAGTCTTGTTTTTTGAGAAATTTATACAAATGGGGTGAATTTATGATAAAGGACAAATATACTCCAATTTAAGACCTTGATTTGTGGAAGGGGCGAATTATACTTTAATATACGTCAAAATATCTCCTTTTGTTTTCAGCAAAAGAAACCCGTAGCAGGTTGGAATGGCGGTTATTTTTAGGTGAACTATCCCTTTAAGAGCTGCTGATGCATACAGAAGAAAAAAGCAAGGCTGACATCTAGAAAAACTGGCATTTAACTATGTAAACATTTAATTGTTATGAAAAAGCTTTCTCTTTTCAATGCAGATAGCTCGTGGAACCAGGTCAGGATCATTAACCAGCAGGTTATTTTTAATGTTTACAGCCCAGAGGAATGACAAGTACCTGATAGCCAACTAAGAGAACGTATTTCACAACATGACGCATGATGTTTTGTCCTGATAATCTTTAAGAAAGATTTCCGACGCTTCCGATTCAAGTCCAAACAGCAACTTTTGCATTAAAAGGCCCTCAGATCAAATCAAACCCAAGATTATTGTACGTTATTCCTGTAAGCACAGCGATAAACAGGTCAAACAGGTAAATTTACCTCGCTCTTTCATCAGATCTAGGCCGTTTGGTGTCTTTAAAAGTCACATTTTGTTCTTCATTTTGCTCCTCCGAGGCGACCACCACCTTTTTAGCGAAGACCACCTCGCTGTGAGACACTTTGATGCTCCTGCGTTTGGATTCGGCGCTCTCCGTCAGCCTCACCACCCGTTCCTCGTCCATATCTGAATAAACCAGCGCCGCTTGTTCGAGCGAATCCGGCGAGTTCGGCAAATCAGCGTCTTCACTCAGGCTCGCTTGGGCCCATTCCTCTCGGACGACATCCTCACCTTTACCTGAGTTTGGCACTTCTGCTCCGGAGGCTCCTGGAAGGCTGTTTGCCGCCTCCTCAAAAGCTGAGTCAGTGCATGCTTTCCGCGGGCCGCTCGTCAAACTGGTTGCTACAGGGCTTTCAGGTTGGGGATTGGTTGGGGATTTAGCTCCGCCCCCATCCCCGTGAGAGCTCCGCCTCCTCCTGCCAGATCTCCTCCGTCCCATTTGTTCAAAGAGTTCCGGTGGCCTTCTCCTCTCAAGCGACCGACTGCGTTCGAGTCTCAGATGTTTGGCATTCCGGTCGAGGGTTGGGCTCGCCTCTGCGGGATCTGTCTCGTCTGCTCTGGTTTCTCCGTGGTCCTCCTCAGGAGCCTCCTCTTGCTGTGTTTGGGACGTGGGATCATCTCTGCCCCAACCCCACGACAGCCAGCTCCCGATGCGACTCAACACCCCTGGGCTGCGCTCCTGTGGACTCTCAGCCTGCAAACACACACACAAACACACGTGAAATCCTGAGAGTCTCATCTGTAACACACACCAGGGGCAGAAATTAAGGGGCAAAATTTGCGCCCGGAAATTAACCTGCATAATAACCTTATGCATATGTGTTGTTTTTATCTCAAATATTTGCATTTGTGACCCTGGAGCACAAAAGCAGTGTTAAGTCGCTGGGGTATATTTGTAGCAATAGCCAACAATACATTGTATGGGTCAAAATTATAGATTTTTCTTTTATGTCATTAAGGATGTTAAGTAAAGATCATGTCCCATGAAGATATTTTGTAAACTTCCTACCGTAAATATATCAAAACTTAATTTTTGATTAGTAATATGCATGGCTAAGAACTTTTTTCTCAATATTTAGATTTTTTTGCACCCTCAAATAGTTGTATCACAGTCAAATATTGTTCTATCCTAACAAACCATACATCAATGGAAAGCATATTTATTCAGCTTTCAGATGATGCATAAATCTCAATTTCGAAAAATTGACCCTTATGACTGGTTTTGTGCTCCAGAGTCACATTT